ACAAACAAACCATAGTTAGTAAACCTGTTCCTGGCATAAGCGTTAAGAAATAATACAACATAAATCTCAATGTTATTAATTTCAATAAATAACAAAGTAAAAAGAAATAGAGAAGAAAAAAGCTAATTCACCAGAGAAAAATATAATTTTCCACAATTAAACTACTTCTCAATATCATTGGAAATAGTTTTTTTCTCATTATACCTAACTAACTCGTTTTCAAGATCATGTGACTAGCTATTGCCATAAATCTACATAATCTTTCACAATATTAATATGTGTACGTCACCGCTAGGGGAAGCTTGTGTCTATTTGATAATACATACATACTCAAAATTTACGTGATATAGAAAGAAGGTGAGTTAGCGCTTTAAATTTATTTTGTATCTAAAAATTCATAGTTGAAGTAAAAGATTGAAGGAATAATAAATGAATGACAAACAAAATCATAAAATAAAAGTAGAATTCGCTATCTCGCATTGTCTCTACCTTTTGTTCTAGCGAACTAATTTACTCATACGATTACGAGTCATTCATATTCAGTAATATTTCGAAATAGATGTTCTGTGTAACATCTTGTTAATAAGCAACCATACTCCATTGCATTCAATTTAATGCAGTTTTGCCTGAATAAATCACAGTACAAAATTTTATGATAAAAAAATTACAAAATTATTAGTTATACACAAATCATTAATTAAATAATTGCCATTTCAATTTGTCGATCAGTATTTTTCTAGTAATTGTATCATTATTTTGAACTTGCAAATTGCCAGACCATTATTTGCGAATTTTATATTTTACTTTCGTAAGTATATTTTATATTTCCATTAAGTATAAGGCGGAGTTTAAGATAAATATTATTTTCCTCTTTAGTGTTAAGTATATACTGGCAGAAAATCTCTTGTAGATTCATTAAATTACATGTACATATTGCCAGACATATATGCCCATTTCATAAATTTTTAGGTAATACTCTGAAAATCGAATATAAAGTTCTCTTCCAGAACTTTGTGGCCAGTTAATGGTTTATCATTTATGATGTATTTAGATATATTTAACAGCATATTTATATATATTTAATGTCTAATATATTTTCTATGTCAACTGACTTGGTGTGACTATTACTAGGTCTTGATATTACATGCTGGTATAACTTATAAGTTGTAGTATCTTATGTTTTTTTGTAATTATTTTTCTGTGAAACAAACTTCAGATGGCTATTCTATAGAATACAGAAAGAGAAAAACAAGGAAAAGACAAGTTACAATGTTTACTATTAGTAACTTCAAACCTTTGTCCCAGTCCTATCCTACTAGTACTACTACTACTACTAGTATTACTAAGACTTTTGAAAAGCAAAATTTAAGCTCAACTATTATAAAGTTTTAATTTTTCAGGAAAGTGTTGATTCTCCATGTAAACTTACTAAGTGGTGGACTCCACTACTGCCAATGGCTAATCATTCCTTAATTCAATCACCTAGTTAGAAAAATAAAACTATCTTAACTGGAGCATGCAATGACTTTTTCAAATGTTAAACTTCTGTCTTCAGAAATCAGAGAGACCTTTATTCAGTTAATCGTCCAAGACTAAAAAATGAGTAGAATTGAGTCGTTTGACGTGTAAAGAGAAAAGTCCAATGGAGAAAAGCCTACTTGTATGATTTAAGCAGAACAAGAAAAACCCAAACACCTCTAAATTAAATAAAAAGAAAAGAAATTTCTCCACATTATTATATTTTTTTTACACTTAAAAACTATTTGTTAAACACATTTGCCAGTATAATAAATATGGTAAATATAAGTAAATATGATAACACTTTTACTACATCAGCACTAAAACTAGTTAAAGAAAAAATATATACATATATAGTATGTTTTGGTGAAGTGTTTCATTTTATGTATGGAAAACTGACAGTAAACAAAAGTCAAGTATGTATGTGTATGGTATTATCAGTTGTCTTGACACCTTTACTGTTTACATGCAGCAGTTTTGTTAGGAGAGCAAGTCCAATGTATCCAGTCTTTACTATTAACAATTTATTCATCATATATATATACAGTTTAACTTTACTGCTAATACTTTCCGTAGTACCCTAAAAGCATGCTGAAGACATAATCATCCATACACTGATCAAAGATGTGAAACAATTACAGGTTACCTGAAAACATATTTATGAAACTGAAGACTTCAGGGAAATAAGATAAATCAACAGTGTATTTAGTTTTAATAGATGCAAATCTCACTCAGTTACTAACTTCAACATTGCATATAGCTTTTAAGTGATTAAAACTGTGACATATCAGCCCATAGGAAGGAGACATCTTCAGACAATGTATGATTAACAACAACAGCTTTGACAAACAATTTTTATATATGTTTGTCATGCATTGGTGTTTCTCTGTTTAATGCATAACACAAACAGTCACAAGCCTGATAAATAATCACCTTAGTGGATGATATGTCATCTCTACCTTTCTATTTCACCAGCAGGTTGGCCATATATATAAAAAAAATGTTTGTCAATGAGTTATTTACTTGCTAACCATGTCTTTTAAACAGTAGTTTGTAATTGCTACAAATGAACATTTCCACTGTAAGGCTCTTCACAAAATTATAACTAAATTCAGCATTCTGTTTTGGTGTAAAGGTAGAATTGTTTTATTTGCTTTATTTAGAGAATTAACATGTAATTAGCATTAACAACTTCAAATATTATGCTTAATTTATGCAGATGAGCTTTCTCTTACAATGAATACACACAATACTGTTACTAGCTTAGTATGGCTCTTAGTGTAAGTGTGTCCATTAAACCTAAGTGTGTGTTTTTGCTTATTTATTACCATAACCTATTAAGGACTAGAACGTAGGTTAACAAGTTCCACATAACACAGTTTACATGTTATAAGCCTATATTGCTTATTTATAGATCTTATCAAGAAACTAGAAGAGTATATTGGCCCTAGGCTAACTAAGTTTGCTGCCATTGTCAGAAACCGCTTAATGGAACCATCAAGCCCTCAAATAGATGTAGGCATTAGCAGGTGCGAGAATGAATCTGTAATTAAAAAGTTCATGAAGTATCGGCTTTTGTTTATCATTGTCTTTTGGGTAAGTAGTTAGAAGAAAAAGTAATTGTATATTTTTACTTGTTTTTGAATGTTTGTTTTCCCGATATCTATTTCTATTAATTATAACTACAACTGGGAAATTAGTGGAATTTTGTAATCGATTAATTGTCAGGCTCATTAATTAGTTGCATTAAAATTGATCCATTATATTCACATGAGACTTGGATAATCAGAATAACTTGAAACACTAATTTCAATTAGTGAATAAGTTTTTTTTTACATTAATCAATTTAATTATAATTTCAATTAATCAGTTATTTTGTGTGACACGTATCAGTGTATTCAATGCCCATAGGTAATCAACCATATTGTTTAACTAAGTTAATTTCCCATCTCTACTAAAGAGTGTGATTGAATTCTTTATCTTGTTGGGAATGGATGTTAACTGCACTAAAGAGAGTGACTACTACTGGTTTCAACATTTCTCAGTGTTACGAAGTTACTGTCATGCAGTTACTGAACAATGAAACTGGTAAACATAAATATCAAAGTAGAAGCCTAACTAAGTGTTCATGTCAGACTTTTTTTTAAATGAACAGTGCTGAAACCACTAAAATAAGCAATACTTTGTAAAAATATGAATAAGATGATTACAAGTTCTATTTTTTTACAAATTCACAAATGATTTGATAAAATGAATGAACTTCTTTAAAAAAAAAATTAATTACTAACACTACTGGGACTTGTGATCCTTGTATGCAAGAACAAGTTAAGCCATGAAAAAATGATGAAATTGCAAGAGTGGTCAGTATTTCAAATCAAATTCTTTAAGAGTCGACAAAAAATACTGGGTACTCTGAACTTAAAAAAGTAAGGGTAATATTATAATATAAGCTAATATCAATATGATCTCTCACCTGCTATTTTTTTGTATATTTAGTAGATACTACAATTTCAAGTGTACATTTCTAATGTTCTTGATATTAAATGGACACAAAAAAACACTTGCTACATCAAATCTTCAGAAAAAAAAAATTGTATATTTAGATATTATGGTTGTGTTAGTTACAGACAACAAGGAACCATTTGGTCCTTCTTGAGCCTTCAAGCCATTTGTTACTTGTTCTTTCTTTTTTCACCCTAACTTTTCTATTAACAGTTTTAGCCTTGCTGGAAACTCAATGAAGGGTTATTGCCTGAAATGTTGTTTTCATATTTCACCAATAAACTTATTTATATTTAGTGGGATTTTCACCATTATTATATTTTCTGTGCAATAGGTGACTTGTGTTTCCACAGGAAAATCAACCAATACCAGCCATATCAGGCCTAGGAATAGTGGACTGCATAAGAGTGTGTATGTTGCGTAGGGAATCACTGTCCATCTGTGTACACGAGTAGTTTTCTATGGTTCACTAAGGACAGGGTTTAGTGTTTGGCATAATGTAATATTGTGATAGAGCCAACGGCCGAAATGCACTTTTACCTGCCCAGAAAGCAGGCAGTATTAGCTAGGATGGTGATGTCTGATGTTGAAAACCTGGGAATGATACTTTAGTTGATGAAAAGGGTAGGTTTGAAGTTGAAACCAGAAATGTGCACTCACATGCATGCAGTTGGAATTTCAAGGTTATATTAGGAGAATCGATGGAATACCTTCTAACCCTTCAAAGTTTAGTGCCATACAGAACTGAAATGATGTGTCTGCAGTTTCTGTGGTTTTGCTCTGTATTACCCATGGTTTATGGCCAACTTCTCCAATATCCCCATACCATTATCTGTTTTCACTGAGAGCTAATGCAAATTGTAAATGAACCAAGGAGCATGAACTGCGAGTTCTTATTGGATATTGATTCCAGTGATAGTGGAATAGGAGCACTATTATCACGGTTATAGTACAGAGTGAAATTTATGATAATGTATTAGTTGTAGGCTCCTGAATTCTGATAGTACACAATGTAGAAAGAACTGCTTACACTTGTGATATTTTTCAAACACTGCTTGTTCACTTTTATAAACTCCTATCATTCTGGAGCTCCTGCTTGATTATTTGATGAGAAATTGGTAAAAATAAATATAGCACACCACAAGGAAAGAAACCTACTCTTATTTATATTCTAATGTTTTAAGCTTTTTCCTTTATTATTTTTAAAACATTTTCATTCTTTATAAATTAGCTAGCTCTTTGAAATTGTTGAACTATCAAATATCAGATCTATTTTTTGTGAAAATGGTTACCTTGTTCATTTCATTGATAAAAAACTATGGTTTCAATGGGAAACCTTGTTATATAACTAAATTTTTACTCTTTTTATCTGATATGGTACATTACAAGCCTTGAGCACCCATATACTTCCAAGACCAACGTGGTTCAACTTTGTCTCATATGCAAATCATCATGTGACACACTCTCTTGACTCGTATGACTCTCTCTACTGAACTATTACTTCTTGTTTGGCAGTGCTATTGTCAAGATGTTTTTTCTTTGTGCTGTCTTCCCATATTTTTTTTTAAAATATCATACAAAGTGAAGATATGTTGTATTTTTATCTACTTCACTTTACCTGTTTGAAGTTTTAACTTATTTTATTTTTGGTTGTCACCGAAGATCATGTTTCCACTTTGAAAGTGTTTTCATTTACTTCCAGCACTATTAGCTAGGCTTTGGGTGGCGATACTCGATGGAGGAATTGTCAGCTTTAATACATTGGGAGATTGATTGTTATATAAGTTGACCTTCGTAGGGCTTCGAGTTTGGTGGCCCATAGATTTGGGTCTGCCAACGTTGGACAGATAAGCTGTTATAACTTTTCGAATATTTTGATATTAATATTATTATTTGTTGTTATTTGGTTTCAATAACATTCGTTTAGTTTGATTTGTACCTACTTCTTGTAAGGTTATGGTTTTTTAGTGATATTCTTTTGTACTACAATGTTAGTTTAGTCTTAACATGTCTGTAATTTTAGGCTTACCTGTCATTCATTTTACTAGAAATGCTTGGAGATGGCTTGAATGGGTAATGAAGAAAAACTTGAATATAAGTTTAACATAACAGCAAATGTACAACGTTTCGACAAGGTTTTGTCATCATCACAAGTCCACACTCGTGTATTTTAGGTGTTTCTGTTTCCTTACTCATTTATACTCTTATTCTTTTCACCTGTGTTGTGGGTCACGATAGTGCAACTTCCAGATTAATATAATTCTTACTCTTGCGCTATCCCTTGATTTTCTTAAACCAAGGATGTTATTGCACTGGAGGTGTTTCTTATCAGATTGGTTTTGAGTGAGATAGTTTACATTATAGAGACATCTTTACTATAACATTCGTCCAAATGTTCGGTTTCCATATCGGTCAAACAATTTATCACATTGCTAACATGTGTCCCATTCATAGATTGGGGGTACGAGATTTCCTCCAGTATGCTGAACTTGAGGTGAGGATGGTATGATCCTCTTTCCTACCCCCACCAGATATTTGGGTTTGGGATTGTAGTTGACTTGCTGCTGGTATGATCCTCATCATACCCCTACATGATGTCAGTTCCCGGTGGGTAAATTTTGGATTGTAGTTGACTTTCCGATGGTATGAACCTCATCCTACTCCTTTGTGGATGCTGGTTCCCGGTGGGTGGGTTTTGGATGCAATTGACTTCCCGTATATGATCCGTCATGTCCTAGCCACTCTATAGCTAGACACACATCCTTTTATTCTCACCCACAATGATGTAACCTATGAGATTGAGATTCCAATATCGTGTGGTTCGGATCCCTATCCAACCATTTTTCTCTCCCTTTTGGATGTGCTCCTCCCAATTTCTACCTTTGTTTGCAACACCTAATTCCACACTGGGCAAAGAGTATATCTGGTATAGGTGTGATATGGTCTCCCATGTATGAACCTCTACTGCAAGGATCTACTCTTTTAGGGTGTTCTTCAGATGCTTTTGAAGGATGCTTTCTCTTTTCCTCACACCAGTTCCTTCACCTATTTAGTGTGGGATTCAAGATGTTTATGTGAGCGGAGGTAATATACCATATCAGAAGTTATAATTTTCCTATACTAAAAATGTATTTCTGATAGGTACTTCCCTCCTTCTTCCCCACAGTGTAGGAAAATTATAACTTTGGGCAAACTTTCATATAACTTGTGATAAGTTGAAAAGCTTGGTGACCAAAGGATATCCTCATGTCCTGCTGGGAAGTATGTTTCAAGAAGATTTAAGACTTACAAGTTTTTTCACTTGGAAGGACCTGCATTCTTCATGTATTGTCTATACTTTTAGTTGTCCATTATTTGGAAGCACCACCAAATATTTAAAGACAGTACTTGTAACATGCATCAGGAAGTATGAGCAAAATCTTCTACATCTACTGTCCCATTTGTGGATAATATGCTTTGGGGCATTTCTAACTTTTTTATAGTGCCATTAATGAACATAAACTGAAGTATTAAGGAAACACTACTTTCCTCAAATTTGTACTGGAACTAAATACAAAAGAACATGTCAATTTTCATTGGGTTTTGGTCAATAGACTTGAAAAAAAAATACATATATGAAAAAAACAGTTGTTTATACATGTAAATGTATTTTAAAATGTATTTTTTTCAGGTAATCATACACTAGGGTAATAGTAGATGCTTTCCTTTCTTGATATGCTACAAAATTTGCAGCTCAGTTTTAAAATCACCAACTGTTCTTTAAAGTAATCACACATTTAAGGTAATGGGTCATAGCTTTATCTTGTCAGGCATATTGCCATGAATAAATTGTGGGGATGAGATACTAAGTAGGTCACTAGAATTGAATGCCAGGCTTATATCAATATGTATGGATAAGCAGATAGGCTGGTTGGATTTGTGGGATAATTCTAATTGGAAAGTTAATTTTTTTGGAATGGATGGCTTACACTTAAACAAGGCAGGGGCAAGCATGTTAGCAAGCCCTATTAACTCAACTGTAGTGGTAGATATAAACTAGGGCTAGACAGAGATGAGGGCTATGATATTAGTAAAATAGGAAATATAATTGACAG